GGTTTTTGGCCTCCACTTTGGTATGTTTTTGTCAGCGACGAAGCGCCGCCCAGACTTATCACCTGCTGCGTTTATTGCTTCGAGACACGCGACTTTCCGCGCGCGTCACTCAAGGGTGCGGACGACACTTGAGAGTGACCGTTGACTTTGGGGGCGTCCTTTAGTTCGTTCTTTGTTTAATAGTTTGCCAATCGCGTATAGTCAACCACCTCCCTCGTCGAAGTCGAAATTGTATAGTCGGGGCCACGATATAGCGAGGTCGTAAAATCGGTCAGGCGTCAAAGTAAACATGTTTTAGCTGCCGGGACCCCGAAATTGACAGAAATACGAGCAGATAAGTACTTAAAACCATGGTCAGGACGAGCGAAAGTCAAACTGATTCTAATATATTTACTGAAAACTGCATGCAGCTAGGACAAATTAGGGTTTCTCCCTCTGGGGGAAGCCGCTTTTGGAAGTACGGTTACAAGTAAAGGTCTTATTGAGGTCTTTAACATCTTCATTTACCTGCTCGTGTTATATACAGATAGAAAATGCAAAATATTGGAAATGGGTTGTGGAATGAAATAGTCTTTACACTTTGTAATATACGATTTATTTACGGTCTCAGAGGAAACGTCTTTACTCTATTGAATCTTCTAGGTCGTTCTTTGTTTAATAGTTTGCCAATCGCGTATAGTCAACCACCTCCCTTGTCGAAGTCGAAATTGTAATAACCAATCCGCGTGTCTCACCCCCGCCAAATGTATCCTCACCGAGGTATCTTCGAACTTTGTCTGAGACCTCGAAATCAGAATCCATTTGGCTAGCAACAAGTAACATAGAAATCTTCCGGAAAACAAACACGAGCAAATTAGTTAGTCTCCCGGTACACGGGAGTGGTCCTTCGAATTGTAATCAGTCGGCACAAACGCGCAAATTCAGCCAAACTCGAAAGATCGCAAGATCAATCAAGAGTACACTAAACAGTATGAGAATATAGAATGTGGATTCTTAAGTTTACTTGACCGTGTCTCGTCGTTAAATAAGACGTTTTTAAAAAAACAATTAGTCGCTTCAATATAAACCCCGTTGACAAAAGTGTACACGGTTTTGAAATCTCTCTGTTCGGTCATAAACGGCCAAACAGTTTTGAAAAGACCACAGGACAATGAGTTTACGGTTACGTTTAGCGCGTTCGCGCTAAAACTACCTGGCGACCAGAATACCGTTACTGTACCCCAATATAACAAATATTTTGCAACAATTTCCCTACTCCTTCGACAACACCATCACCCCCGAAAACACAAGAGACCAATCGACACACTTGAACCACCTCCTGCACAACTTAAAAACGAATCAGAAACAGACACCAAGGTTATAAAACAGCATACACGGCCACCCTTACGGCAGATACAACTAGAGACGCCAAGCAAACGTACAAGTAGCCACACAGGCAGCCACACAACACATGTTTGTAATATACAAAGTTTAAAACATAAAGTGTGGTGTTTCAGTTTTCAATCAAGTACAGTAAATTCTCTATAAGTGTCAGTCAGTTTGGATTCTACAAGTGTCAGTATAGATGGTCCTACGCCTATGTTATCCTCGCTCGCTGTCAGTCAAGCGTGTAACGCTACACCAGTCGGTTTCTTTTACGAGATTTCATGGCTCGACAATTCATAATAGAAAAATATAATTTTTTTAATTTTACTTTTTTTAGTAGCTTTTTACTCTTTATCTC